GCAGTCTCCTGAAACTTCAGTTTCTTCTGAAACGGAGCAGCTGTCTGAGCGTGGCACTCCTTCTCCCACTGTGCAGCTGGCTTGGGTCCGTTGCGTTCAGTTACGGTTCTGATCCCAGGAGTAACACCATCCACCACCGTGTCCCTCCCTGTTTTCTCTGTTCTCAAGGCACTTCTTCAAAACTTTCCTTCTTTCCTATAAGCAATATTTATTGACTCTTTGCCACTAGAATTGAGTGGGAAGAGCTTAGTTTTACAGTGTCCCTCTGTGAAGCCTTGATCCTCAAGCAGTATCTTAAAAAAAACAAACAAAGACCCAGGTTGTATCTGGAAAAGATTACATTCCTTCAAGTCAAATACAAAGTTCATCCAACATTTATAAAACACATTAGATGAGATGCTATCCTACAGATTTTTATTGGTTTCAGCTTGCATTTAACTCAAGCTGTTCACAGCCTTTTTGAGGTACACCACAGTCCTAACAATACCAGTGAAAAACATTTACAATGTCCTCATCTTTGTGTGTTTTATGATACAAAAATAGAGCTCTCTATTCACTTGTCTTCCTGGAAACTGGAGAAGTTAAACAGTCAGTGCTTCACTGCGTAAGTTCTGCAGAGGTGTCCTTTGCCTTTAGACACACATGGAAAAAACCCCAAACTTTTAACTTGGTGTTAAATTGGAAAAGCGGCCGTGTAGTGGCAGTGTAGTGGTGCATCTGTCTTCTCCTGAGCTCATGCTGTTGTCTTGACTGGTGACTTGAAATGAAAATTAAATCCTCCTTCCCCTCTCCCCCTCCTTTCCTTATTCCCAATCCGACAGGCCATTGGCTTTTCTGATTTAATCGTGCTAGCAAAGTCATCCTCAAAACCCACTGATGTTCCCACAGTATTCAGAGCGCAGGCAGTAAGTACAGTTAAGACCAAACCGTCATCAAAAGGTCTCCAGCTAAACCTTGTTGCTTGATTAGTGCCTCATGCACAAAGCTATTTAAATATCTTAAGCTTGATTTGAACCTGCTACTGGAGATAAGCTGAATAACCTTAAAATAGTTTGAAGATCTCCATCCCTAGGGAGTGGAACTTGACACTCACTTTCCTGCAGGCAGTTTGGTATTTTCTGCATTCCCTTCACAGGCAAATCTCCAAAAGAAGCATAAGGAACAAAACATTTTTCTAAGTTCACATAGCAAATGCAAAATGAGAAACAGAGCTCAGACAACAACTGAGCTTTAAAACAGCTCTTGGTAATTTGTTTCTGTGTTCCTTCAAAACTCTTCTTTAACTTTATAGCAAAAGTGTAGCAGGGTGTAAGCAGTGCATGAGACCATTTATGGGGCTGATTTGGTGCTTTAGTGTTCGTTCCTTGTTCAGAAGTAAAAGCCACAGTGCCAAAAACATGAGAGGAACTGGGACCAAGCACTCTGATACGCACTTTGTGGACGTATCTCTCTGCCCTACATTTATTGTCTTCTGTCCTTGGGGAAAAAAAAAGCGCTGTATTTTAAGTGCTCTACAACTCCTAAGGGATCAGCTGAAGTTTTCCTTTACACTTCTTTGTTGGTTCATTTTTTTGACACCTGGAGGCTATTTCCTGTTTAAAATTCAGACTGATCTAATGTTTTAAGGGCTACCTCTACTTAAAGATAGATTTTATTTTTAGTTCTATTCTGTATTCTCTGATATAATACTATTGCAAATTGATGATTCACGAAAGCTTTCTGAAGAGTTGAAGTTTCAGATTTTAACAGATTTCCTGGACAACACATTTGTCCAACTTCGTGATGATCATCACAGATTTAAATAGGTAGATGAGGTACTTAGGGATATGGTTTAGGAGGTAGACAGAAGCGGTTGGATGTGATGATCTCAGAGGTCTTTTCCAACTGAGCGATTCTGTGATTCTGTGAAATTCATCATGAGATGAGGAGCAGAACTGTGGATTCTGCCTTACAGTAGGATTGACATTGAGACCAAGCATCACTGAGACTGCTGCTGCCCGGAGCCATCAGGAGAGCAGGAACTGCTCTGGGACATCCACGCAAGAGCCTTGAAGGCATTTCGTAGTCTGACAACAAAGCACACTGAAATACCCCTTCATTCAAGTGGGAGAACTCCTGAAAATCCCATACATCTAAGCAACACCTCGGCCTGCTGGTAAATTGGTGTGGGTTTGGCCCCTAACCTTACACTAATCCCACTCAGAATTACCAGAGCGCTGAAACGCTATTGCGAATTTCTGGCACACAGGCTGGGCTTGTGGAAACCAATGCAGTGATGTCAGTTGGAGTTTCGCCAATGGTTTTGATGTGGCCAAAACTTGACTTCAGCTGTGTTACAGGTCAGAGCAGAGCATGTTTGCAAAGTTGCTTCAGAATCTGCTTCCCTGCCATCCCTCATGCTATTCCAGGCTCAAATTAGTTCTAAACTTAGAGTCACTCAGTCACACAAATGCTAAAATAATAACAAAAGACATTTTGTAAAGATAAACCAAAGTGAAGGTTGATCTTGTGATAAAGGCACTGATTTGGGACTTAAAAGATCCCAGTTTAATTCCCAATTAGGTCTTAAACGTTCTGTACAAATTTGGAAGGTCACTTTTTCTCTCTTGGTCTCAGTTTCTAATTGTAAAATGAGGGTGGGTTGAACTTTCTCCGTTGTCTGTTCAGAGCATGACTGTGCATACTAAGTTGTTGTGAATCATGCAAGACAGACAGACAGACATCCCAGGGGTTGTGGGTTTAAGCCATTATCATAAGAAAGCAGAAATTGTAGCAACATGTCTGGTCATCTGGATAATGAGCTCTTACCCATGTCTCTTCCATGTTTGCAATAAAGATGAAAACTTTTCAAATTACTTAGCCAGATTAATGTCTAATTTAGAGGTATTTTCTAGCCCATGATAAAAACTCCGATACTAAATAATAAAACCCACAACTTTATTGTGATAAGGTATGGGAAATGAGCTTAATACAGCAAAAAAAGGTATCAAGAATGAAACAGTAGAAGCCTTTGTTAAAAATTCTCCCAAAGAGAAATCTTATACGTACTCCCAAGGAGCTTAAACAAAGGTGGTATGTAGACAATAGGAATACTGTGTGTCAAGTTAAACTAAACAGAGCTCTCTTTTCCAGGTCACATGAATCAAAGGGATGAAACAGACAAATGGATAAAGGCTGACACACAGAATGGCAAAGTGTCCCTTAAAAGCCAGAGCTGGATCCAGTCTGTCAAGCTGAAGAGTTCTTAAGGGTGGAACAGGGTGAAGTGATTAAATCAAGAAATTGTAAAGGAACATTTCTGTAAAGTTATGACATTTTCTTGATATATATTCTTAATGTAAGAGAAAATATTAAAAATGAGGGTGTTTTAACCTGAGATTTCCCTGTGACAGTGGCTGGTGCTTAACAGGCCTGGTTTACTTTTCGTGCCTTTTAGGAACAAGATCTTACATATTCACAATTTGTATAATGTGACCCGCTTACCACATTGGCTTAAAAGCTGGTACCCTTCAAACAAAAGTCTGGAGTTGTCTTTTGAAAATAAAAAGCATTTTCAACATCTGGTATTTTAAAACATGAACATTTACTTCCAGTAGCTCTGCAAGCTATTTGGTACTTTTAAGGCAAATGTCTCATTATTGTGGGAATTCTACTAGTTAATGCAAAACACAGAGAATTGTTCTTCAAACAAATGGTTTTCATCGTGGATAGGATAAAACCACTTTCAGAACTCTGGTTCTTATTTGGTCTTCTCACTTGATGTTTTACCCTAAGCAGTTTCTGCTTTGCCAATGGGTACTGTGTGTGTAAAACCACTTACATGAAATGACTTGCTCCATGTCATCCCAAACCACTCATCGTGGATAGAAATCAGAACTCCAGCTCTACCACTGTTCATCTGCAAAGGAAAGCTTCTAAAATACTGAAAAGGGCAACGGGTCTGGTTGATTTCAAGGAGGAATGCTCCAGCAACTTCAGATAAGAGTCCACATGGACTCCCCTAAAGCTACCAAAGGATGGAAGTACTGGGTTAATAAACGAGAAGTGTCATCTGTTTATTTGCTGCATTTCCAGTGATTTACTGTCAGCTGTGCACGATGGGGCTGTGGGCTCTTTGGTGCAGAAAGGCCAGCAGAGGGGGGCGAGGGAAGTGTGCACACCCACAACAAAGGCATGCATGATTTTTGTGAAGGATTTTGTGTCACTGTAATACAAACACACAGTAAGGTAAATGGAGCTTTCAAAAGCCTTTCTGTACATGTATATATGGCACTGTGTAAAAGAAGTACTGAAATTTGTGTTGGAAACCCAAAATGTAAGAATTCCTGCCAACCGAGTGCATGGAGTAGCAAAGAGGCGTTTAGTGTCAGCTCAGGTTTTAACCTGTGTATAAGTGTGTATGTACTGCAGGTCATAATGGTACATTGGGAAATGAACTTCTTCTTTCCCACAGGATCCCCAAGAGGGGAAATTGCCCCTGGCTGATGGACTTCAACAGCCATGGGCTGCATTTTTACTATAATTCAGTTAAAAACTTCACATTCTCTTTGCTGTTGTGTATACTGTTTGTTTGGATGAGGTGGGTACTGATGGGTATGGCAAATTCTATGTATTTTTAATATAAACACTACTATATAAAACATTACTAATGCTATTACTAAAAGCAATATAATATTACTGGTTATTAGTAATTATTATTATTATACTTTTAAAAGATACAAAATTAATAAATGGGTAATGGGTTTAGATTTCCTGAAAAATTTTTGAAACTAATCATTTCTGTGCACTGCTGCAGACAAGGTGAAAGAAGCACCTCTAAATTCACACTGCACTGAAAAATAAAAAGTGTAGTAAAAGTTTCACAAAATCGAGTTCATTAATGGTTCTGTTATTCACCCAGAACACAAAGCCTGTCAGCCTCTGTGATTAAGGTTGTGCTTTTTGGGACTGCTGCATCTGCAATTTAAGGGAGAACACAGTAAGAAAACGTGTTATTTCTTCCATGTTCAAAAGAAAGCAAGCTAAGGCATTCATATGCTAAAGCTGGCTGGAATTAAACATTAGGCTTGCTAGTGACTTGCTTAAAGAAGTTTAAATAAGCCATCAGAATAAATGTGCTATCACTGAAGCTACTCTGATTGTATTCTTTCCAAGCTAATAAATGTTGAGACCAGCTAGACCTTTAACGTAAAGGTCAAGATCGAGCTGAAGAAAGACAAATCTTTGGGAGTTTCCCCAAAGGCGTTTGAGTCATGTCTTGTTCTGCTTTAATAAGGTGAAACTTTACATTTTTCTCTAGACAAGGAGCGATTAAGTGGGTTATAGTAATTAGGATTTGAATGGCAAATCCCATGCGTGCTCATTTTTTTTGTCCATTTCATGGGAAGACACGCTGTTGTAGCTGGAGAAAATTTATCCTTTAACACTTGTCTCATCTCTGCTCCTTTCCATTTGATTCTCCTGCCTCTGTCAGCTGCCAGCCAGCCCGCACTTCAGATCTGCAGACGTAAACATCAGCTCACGTAGAGAGCTACCCTCAGCCAGAGAGGCGCTTTGGAGAGCTGGGGCTCTGGGTGCTCCAGTGGCCGTTGAGAAGCAGAGCACTGTGCTGAACTGCAGATGTATGGTTGTGTATTGAGGAAGGGGTAGTTACTACCTCTTCACCGCTGTTCTTTGCTCAAGAACTCTGTACTTGCCGAGTACCAGCATGTCGAGTGTGAAGTTCTGTGGGAAGTAAGAGTGTTTATGTGCTGGAGAGGACCTTCATGGCAAACAAGAACCCCAAACACATGCAGATTTATTTATTGCTTACTCTGCATGGGACTACAACAACTTCTCATTATTGAAAGATGAAGACAGCTTGAATCAACATCTGAAAGTCAGCCGTGTTGTTTCAGTGCAGCTGTCTCGCTTGAAGGCATACACACTCCTGCAAGAAAGATTTGCAGTGCTTCCTTACTAATTCAACAAATGGCCTTTTATTAAAGTGTGATTAGTTTTAAGAAAAATAATATCGTGTTCTTTTCATGCTCTAGTGAAAAACTCTTGAACTGTAGAAGATGTTGCGCAATTCCTTCATTTTTCATTTTGAAGAATTTGTTTATTCAGGCTCTGATGTGTGTTTTTTGGGGAAGGTGAGTATGTTACCATTCCGGTCATATCCAAGCCAGGAAGGAGGGTCAGCATCATTATGTTCATGTCTCGTCAATTTGGCTGTGTATTTCAAGACAGCTTGTCTGCAACAAGAGTTAAAAAAACATTACAAAAATTAAAAAAAAAATAATTGCAGAAGCTGTTTGTACAAAGAACACTAAAAGCTGTTTAATGAGCAAAAGTTCCTTGTTTTAACTGCAGCTATCAATATTATAACAAGTGGTGTGGAAAATTAAAGAAAGACGATAACTTGTTAGGCCATAGAGTCACAGAATAAATTAGGTCTGAGATGGCGTCTGGAGATCATTTAGTCCTGGTCTTATTCTTAATGGATCCAAGTAGACCAGGTGGGTCCAGCCCTTTAATGGTCCTGGTGGCCCTCATCTGCATTGTTCCAGTGTCAGTGTCTGTCTTGACTGGGGAGCCTAAACCACGGATCTTCAAGACTGAGTACAGGTAGGTGATGCCATGGGAATAATAGCATCGTGTTTTGAAGAAAACATAACACCAAGCAAGGTAAATAAACCAGTAATACCAAAAGACATCACAGTGTCTCTAGACTTGGTTTTTTTCAGAACTATATAGGAGAGCCATAGTAACTGTGCAGATCCCTAGCTCTATCTTTTTCTTTGAACAGTCTCTGTAGCACTTCCAAGTATTTTCACCCTTTCTTGGTTCACTTTCTGCTTCCTTTCTGGCTAAACTTTCACAGAATCACAGAATCACAGAATCACAGAACGTTAGGGATTGGAAGGGACCTCAAAAGATCATCCAGTCCAATCCCCCTGCCGGAGCAGGAACACCTAGATGAGGTTGCACAGAAAGGCGTCCAGGCGGGTTTTGAATGTCTCCAGAGAAGGAGACTCCACAACCTCCCTGGGCAGCCTGTTCCAGTGCTCTGTCACCCTCACTGAGAAGAAGTTTCCACTTGTAATCTTCTGTCACCCACCTTTTTTTAACGTGTATTGTTTCTGAAGCAGAATTGAATACACAGGGCAGTGTTACAGAGCCTCACTGTTACCTGCACTGGCCCTGAGCTCAACCCCAAGGCTGTGTTTTGTAGCTTCTGGGATAGCTGAACCAAGAGGGAGTCACTTATGATGTCCAAAACCACCCACGACCCCTCTGATCTCCCGCAGCATTTTGTAGCCAATGCCGCTTTGCAGTGTTGGAACACAAAACCAACGGCATAGAGCAAAATGACACAGAAACAGGAGAAATCAGGCTTGCTGAGTGTGACACCCTAAAAAAAAGAAGTTGAAGAGCAACTCTCCTCTCCCTCCTTTCCAGGCAGTATCGGTCCAGCAGCTTTCATTGCCTTCCCGAGCTCAAGAAACTCACCCCACCACTTCAGTCATTTGAACATCTCTTTCTTTCCATCACTTCTGCTCTTGGCTGCCAGCCCGCTCCCTGCCGCGCAGAGCTCCCGCCCCCCGGCCTCCCCCCACCGCCGGCCCCCC